ACATACATACATACATACATACATACATACATACATACATACATACACACACATACATTCACGTTTCCTTGCGTATCCTATGCCACGTTTGTGGTGTGACTCCCCGTCACCGACGAATGTTTTTGTATGCTTTTGTCATGTTCGACTCGAACACATCATTTTTTGTGTGATCTTTGTAGCGTTTCCGAAGTTTTGCCGGGCCACTAGAGGTAAAATATGGTAAAACCATGTGTGTGGGAATGTTGGATGTTGAACTGTGGGGTGGGCGATGGGTGAGGGGTCAATGACGTTGGTTTGGATTTGCCATACTCAGATGATGCCACATGTGCGTGCCCGAAAATACCAATGACATCTATGCGCATGAGAGGATTTAGTGAAGGCTAAATCAGCTTCAGAATTTCCGGTTCACAGAGGTGCGGGAAGAGGAATGTGAACGGCAGGTTTCCGCTATCTCTGCACCGGAACCCAGCAGATAGACCGAGACTATCAAAACGTGGTGGTTGAAACGCTTCGGATCCGCTGCAAATAAACAGAAAAATATCTTCTGTGAACAGACGGTTCTGGGGCCGCGTGTCTCAGTGGTTGTACTGCCATAGTCGCGCTTGAAACAAAACAGGGCAACCCTACCATGAATGTCATGGAAACATATTGAAGCAAAGTTTTGTAGTCCTTCCGTTAAAATACACTTTCAAAAAGGAACAACAGCACATTTTTTGGACTTAAACAACACATGTTGCAAACACACAGCTGTGTTGGGGGCGTTACTGTACCATGTTTGTGACATGATTCTTCGGAACATCCACCAACTCATAGACTGCAGGCCTTCCGCATCAGCCTTGCGTTTTCAGGAGTTCGACATGGCCTCCAACAGCTCTCTGGAAGCGGAGTTACAAGCGTTGCTTGGGGATGAAGGCGTTTGAGGCGAGAACAATAAATTTACTGTGGACAGATGATGATAGATGAAATGAATGGAACATCCAGCTATGGCTCAAAAACTGGAAGCCACGTTTCTTAAAGCAGGTATACTAGGTGATCAAAACAGTTTGCCTTGACATTGTTTGGAGAAAATACATGATGTCACTCTTGCTTTCAGAGAATCTTCAGAAAGACGATACATTTTGAGCCATACAGCTGAGGCACCCATACCACTCGTAGACCCAGGTATGTAAATTGACACCCCAGACTTCTTTTGCTCGGAAGCCACTTCAACTGTGAAGGCATGCTGGTGAAATGGCCAGACAGCCGGATTTGGCGTCCATTCCAACAATGAAACCTGCTTGTTCTTCAACACTTAGGTTCCCGATACCCTCTCCCAGAGCTGTGCATTCATGTTTTTGAGGGTCAACCCCGGCTCAAGACTGTATATTCAAAGCACTTGTGTGGGGCAGATGTTTGTACGTACATGTTGGCCACTGTGCCCTGGTATGCCAAGTGAACTCGACCTTTACCCGTGCATTTTGCACGGCCATTTTCAGCAACTTCACGGTGCCAAAGGCCAAGACAACCGTACCAAACTGAAAATCCCAAAACGACAATCACACTGTACTACTAGTATCCTTCATTTGCGGAGAAGCCGGCTTCCTTCCCCTGACAATGTTCGGGAAATTCGACCACAGCTGCGAGCTTTCAGCGGAATATCCGATCAAAGAAAAGGGTGCTAAGGTGAAGTATGCATCACGCTGTAGCCTAAAACATTCTTTGTTAAGTTTTCCATCAGGTGCAGAGTGCAGAACTTCTAGGTGAAGCTTCAGAACTTCCTTCTTATTCTTCCCCCACTGATACAAAGTCTAAGGGTGTTTGCAGATGCAGCGTGAAAGCGTTTGTTTATCATTGTCTATCCCCTTTTCAAGGTAAGGAATCGCTTCCTGAGATTTTGTGCCGGCTTGCATTGGTATTCACTTGTTCGCTGCCACGCAGAATTCTTGTCCACAACTCTCTAAGCACAGTCCTATGTCCAGAGTCTTAGCAAGGTGCACTCACTACCACTTAGTTATTATTTTGCTTTGGATATGAATTAACACCCCTTTCCAAGACCACGTTCAGAAACCTCAAAGTGAGGTACATCTTCGAACTGAGAATTGGGAAGCTGCTGATCAGGCCTGCAGGCGCAGTGGCCTTAGGAGAATGGGGAAGGTGGTATACTATTATATACACACACATATATATATATACACATATATATACACTGTATATAAATATGTATATATAAATATATTGCATTGTCATAGTGGGTCAACGTCTACATGTCATAATCCATTGTTGGTCAACCTCCAGACTCCAACAGTCCAGTGCTCATGAGTGTAGAAGTTCATAGAAGTTCCTTCGTTCTTGGAAAGCCCCAGCGACTGGATGGAGATCATCTCCAAACTGTTTCACCTGCTTATCTCCAGAACTTTTCAATGTTCGCGCCTTTGGTGTCTGACCGTCTTCCGCGTCCTTGCAGGCAATGCTTGAGTCTGAAGCCTCAATGCGATGATCTGCTCTTGGAAGTCTTGAGCCCAGCTGGCCCTGTCGGTTGAGGAGCGATGCAGCAGTGCAGCATCACCGGTTGGTTTCTTGCTTGATTGCTTCACTTGCATTCGCATGGTGTGCTTGCGCAACTATGTGCAACTCATTCGTTGAATTTGTTTTACTGTGGTGTGGTGTGTGTGTGTGTGTGTGTGTGTTTGCATTCTGGGCAACATGTGTGTACATATACGGTATGTTTCTTTGTATGTGTATCATGGAATCATGCATGATGCAACTGTGTAAAGCTTTTAGATTCAGATTGTGTTGCCGAAGTGTGGCAATATGGTTGTGCTCAGGCAGGGGTTTGGCAAACTCTGGACACTTTCTCCATACATGGACATGCTGCTGCTTTGTTCAAGCAGCACGTGCCGCAATTAAGCATGCCAAGCTCAATCCCCAAGGCCCGGAACCTGTAGACTCTTGGTAGACTGCCAGACTGCACTCAACTGCCCTCGCGTTCAAATCAGCTTTGCCTTCGGCACGGAACCGACGCCCAGGTGGCCACCGAGTTCTATCGCAAGGATCGACAACTCTCCTTGGCCGAGGCCGAGCCAACCCACCAAGGAAGGTCAGGATGAATCACATAACAGGTCTGCAACCTAATAGCAATGGCCTCCACCCTCGTAGTGATGGCCTCCAACCTATTATCAATGGCCTCCACCCTAGTAGTGATGGCCTCCAACCTATTATCAATGGCCTCCACCCTAGTAGCGATGGCCTCCAACCTAATAGCGATGGCCTCCACCCTAGTAGCAATGTCCTCCAACCTAATAGTGATGGCCTCCAACCTAATAGCGAGGAATAATGAGGAATAACTTGTTTCATTTGCTGTGGTTTCGTTCTTCAAGCAAGTACATTGTAGGATGCTTTGACTTGGGATCGCAGATCAGAATCATGGGTTTATTTGGAGGTAGATTCTCTTGCAAGGTTCGTTTTTGTTAGACAGGATTGGATTGAACACCAGTTTGTGGGTGTCTTTTCTTCAAACCTGATGCTCGTGCTTCATGCAAGAGTCTAAGTCATAGCCCTCATTGCACAAGGATGGTTTGAGTGCCCCTGCTTGGATATTGTTGGTCAATGGTCACTACTTCGATATGATCCAATCAGTTTAGCCGTATGGGCCCTTATGGCAAATCTCCCACTTGATTTGGACAGATATGTACAAGCTCTTCATTTCCCAAAGCTCAACAATTCATGAATTGTTTGTCTAGTTTAGGTGGTGGACATACATGCCGGTTAAAGCAAATCTTTAGGCCAGCCTGGCAAGCATGCGATAATAATCGGGCTGCCGCCGGTTACCGCTGACCCGATTTATTTTGTGGCTTAGCTTCCGACTGCCAACGTTGATCCAATTTGTAGGCCAAAACACGAAGAGTGAACTCAATTCATGTGATTAGGGAGGCTTTGTAAAGCAGACTTTACGTCGCATTTGCACTGCGAGCCCTCACTTAGATCACCCTTTGGCAGTGCGAGTAGTGCTGCCAGCAGCTATGGAGCTAGAAAGGTTTCTTCGCAATGGACCCCAAAAGCTCCATATACTGCTCGCGTCCCAAAATGGGAGTTAGCCATCTATAGTTCAGACCGACGACCCTGTCCCCTACCTCCGATTTCACCATTTAGCTCAGTCCAAAAGACAACACAAACCGTCACCTTTGGAACCGACTCAAGCGATCAAAGGGTCTCCGGCCATGGACTCCTGCCAGCGTAATGGTTCCAGAGCACCGGGTCTTTGGCGCCTTTGTGGCGCTGACAGATTTTAGAGCCCTCTAAAGATATTGGGTTTCCGCCAGCTACAGAAGCATGTTGTGACCCGGTAAGTCTTGAAGTAGAGTCGCTCTCCCAACCGTTTAAGCTATATATGGATGTCTCTTGACTTGCACAAAGATTTGATTTCCAGATTCCCATGAGCCTCCTTGAAGCACGGCCGAATGTGACCACAGGCATGTACCCGAGTAGCCTTGGATGCCAAAGACACTGGACAGGCTGCTGTGCACGGGGCATTGATCTGGGGCTAGGTCAAAATCCACTGGAGGAAGGAGGAAGGAGGGGTTCAGCTTAACGCAGGAGAAAGTTGGTTGGAAGTATTGTTCTCTTCAATTGTAGGTTAGAATCTTACAGTGGTGGTGGTGCAAAGACATGATCTTCCATTGCGGGGTGGGTCTTGTAGGTTTGATTGTATACTTACTTGCAGTAGTTGTGAATCAGAGAAGCAGACATGCATTTTAAGACCCAGTCAGTATGACATTCGATCATTGTCACGATTACAAACCAGATTGTCAGAGCTGCTGTACTTTCCATTGACCTGAAATTGCATGCTGTGATGCTGAGTTGTTTTGTTGGCAGAAATCAGAAGATCCCGAGAGGTATTTCTGGATAGAATGGGCTGAGTAGTTCTCTCGAATATGGACAAACACGTTTTGACCCGAAATTGCTTCATGGCGGGAACAACCGAAATCACTGCAAAACGTCTCGAAACAAATCACTTCATAAATATATACAGACATATATATATATATTTAACTATACAACAAACATATATATATATACTGTTTGTTCTCTCGAACTTGCTTGTCATGCTTCGATTAGGGGCATGGTGTCTTGGCAGACGTCCTGGCGCAGATGGGCAAGGCTGGCCGCGAAGCCACCTTTGGGCGGCGCTAAGGGGGGTACGTTTAGACTAAGTGGAACTTCAAGGAAGCTCCCCTCGCCACCCTAAAGGCGGGGGGGGGAGCTCCTTGAAGAATCGCTCGCACTAGTAGAAATGCCCTTGTTCCTAGTAGCTTCTTGTTCCTAGTAGTAAGGCCAGGAGCTACTAGTAGCGTCCTTGCTCCTAGTAGCGATGCCCTTTGTTGGTAGATTTTTAGGGAAACTTAGGTTTCACGTGTGTGCAGGAAATTTGGTCTGGACCTCGTTTGGATTCAAATCCTTCAGAGTTACCCTTGCCGAAACACACTTGGAACAACACTTCCCTGCCCCAGCTGCATGAGAGGCAGAGCCTGCGGTGCTGGAAGCACAGACCGCCTTGAAGATGCTGGTGGATCAGCCGGACCTTCGAAAGGCCAGTGGAAGATGTTCAGAATTGATCTAAAGACTTGGGATGAATACCAATGAGTCCTATAAGCATGTTTAAACCGTCCTAACCAAATGAGCTCGTCAGAGTTGACAAGGGATGCACTAGATAGGCGAAGACGCCTCTAATTATCCAGTCAACTCATGTGTGTTCTTCTGTGATTTTGCTGGTACTTCTCTTTCATGAGCTTTAAGAGGTCGGTCGAGCAACCCGGCAGGCTCCCTGCAGTGAAGTTACAAACTGTTAAGTGTGCTATCCAAACCCACTGGTAAAAGAACACATAAGGCCTGCAGCTTTTCGGGGCACACCAAGTACCACCATGCAATGCACTCAAACGGTCGTTGGATCAGTTGGATCTCTCACCCTCGTGGTCAACTTCCTTTTACTAGGAGCAA